GGTCTTTTTTGAGCTTCCTGGCATCCTGACCAACACGGTATGATTAAATTGTGTGGGCAGAAAGGGATTCGGCAGATCTGGGGAAACTGCTTCAGGGGGCCCATCACCTCAAAGGGTAGGTGAACGAAACTAGCTTTGGGGAGCATCAGATCAGAAGTTTGCCCTCCTGAGGACCTCATTGGCTGTTGCTTTCTCTGCCTCAGTCTCCTAGTCTTTAAAATGGGGAGGTTGTGCTGGGTGGGACATGTTTGCTGTGTGTTGCAGTCATATCAAGAGCTATGTAAGAGGACAAGGGACTGAGCGGGCACGGAGAATTTGTCTTGTGTTGCAGTAAGAGAGACTGTCCCCTGTCTTACGTTAGCCTTCTTGGACAAGACTGGTTCCGTTCCATAAAAGAAAAGAAAATGGGGAGGATCCTTCTGTTTGACTTTGTCTTGCCTGTTCTCCCCTCAGCGAGTGTTGTGGAGCCCTGGAATACTATGACAAAGCTTTCGACCGCATCACCACGAGGAGTGAGAAGCCACTGCGGAGCATCAAGCGCATCTTCCACACGGTCACCACCACAGATGACCCTGTCATCCGGAAGGTGTGCGCCTCCACCTGCCCCTACGCCCATTAGGAAGGCTGCTAGCGTCTAAAGCTGAGGCTGAGAAAGAGCAGAGGACGTGGGGCTGTGCTGTACAGGCGTCCCTCATTATCCATGGTGGGGGGTGCTTGGGACCCACCCCATACTAAAGTGCATGCATGTTCAATCCCTTAAATAAAATGGGGTAGAATTTGCATATAACCCACGCATGCATATCCTCCTGTATACTTCAGATCATGTCTAGATTACTTAATAAGCATAAATGTGCTGCACATGGTGGCACACGTCTATTATCCCAGCACTTGGGAGGCTGAGGCAGGAGAATTGCCATGAGTTTGAGACCTTGTCTCAAAAAAAAAAAAAAAAGAAAAGATAAATGTTATGTAAATAGTTGCTATACTGCACTGTTTTAGGGAATAATGACAAGAAGAGGTGTGTACATACTCAATAGCATTTTGGGGTTTTTTTTCCTTTAGTATTTGGTTGGATCTGAGTGCAAAACACACAGATACAGAGAGCAACTGCATGTGTACAGTTTTGGCCCTCGGATAATGTAGGGGACAGGGGAAGGGGACGTTACCAGAACCTCTGCAGTGAGTCCTGGTCTCCTGCAAGCCACGGCAGCACAGGGCGAATTACAGGAAAGGGAGAAAAATGAGACTGAGAAGAAGCTGAGCTTTGGTTTTGATCAGTGCTGCTCTGGGCAGCAAAGACAAAGCCCCCAGCTTAGCACACCTTTTATTCAGTACATCAGGAGAAACAAATGTAACAGATGACTTGCAGAGGGTTCAATAGTTCACATTGGGATAAACAAGGTGTAAGGGAAGGCTTGCAGAGAGTTCAGTACATCTCCGGCAAACAAGATGTTAATCAGTCCAAGAACAATGAGGAACTGAGCAGATGTTTGTTCTCCCAGGATGTTTCTTGTCCTGGAGAATCACAGCATCACTGGATCACTGAAGTCTCAGTTGTGACTGGAGGCCAAACTGGAGTTATTCTGTAGCTGGGCTGTAGGCAAGAGAACTAGGCTAACCAAATGATTTATCCCTAGAATTATGTAGCATTGCTCCCAACAGGATAAGGTTCTTCAATTCAAACTTAAGGTAGATGGCCTCAAATGCTGCTGTTTGGCAGAGCTGGACTCAAGTCTGAGCTCTGCCATGCTAACCAGCTTGATTGACTAGAAGCCTTAGTTTTTTCATCGGCAAAGGGGGGTAAATGTACTGAGCCAGGGCCCCTGGGGCAGATGCAAGCCTTCCTGAAGCACTTGGCTGGACACTGGCAAGGCCCAGGATGGTGACTGCAGAGTGTGGCCGGCCCTTGTGCCGCAGACGTCTCGGCCTAGGGGAGGGAAGGGTGGGTCCTTCCTACTGCATGAGTGGCAGTTAGACCTCAGTATTTCACACCTTCCTCCCTCATCGTAGCTGGCAAAAACCCAGGGGAATGTGTTTGCCACCGATGCCATCCTGGCCACGCTGATGAGCTGCACGCGCTCAGTGTACTCCTGGGACATCGTTGTCCAAAGAGTCGGGTCCAAGCTGTTCTTTGACAAGAGAGACAACTCTGACTTTGGTAAGGAGCCTGCCTCGGGAGCAGATCAGAGGCCATGTGTATTCTTGTTCCAGAACAACTCCCTGATAGGGAGAATGAACAGGAAATGGTCTGCCTTCCCTGGGGGCTAGGCCACATGTCTGAATCCCTCCCACCCTCCTTAGGGACACAGGGAAGCCACTGTCCCCAAACACCTCCTCAACGTTTCAGCCTTCAAGGTCCTCACATACCCAGTACTGTGCCTCCAAATTTTGCTCATTTGCATGCCATTTTCCTGGCTCCTGCTACCTCTCAGACCATCGTTAGTATTAATACTTTTCTTTTTTTTTTTATTTTTTATTAATATTTTTCTTAAAGTGATGCCACTTTTTTTTCCTTTTTTTTTTGGTACCAGGGATTGAACTCAGGACCCTGTGCCTGCAAGGCAGGTGGTGGAACCACTGAGCCAAACCCCTGGTCCTTGTTTTGTTTTTTGAGACAGGGTCTCACTATGTAGTTCTTACTACCCAGGCTGTCCTCAAACTTACGGCGATCCTTCCTCCTCAGCCTCCTGACTACTGGGATTACAGGAGTGCACCACCCTGCCCAGAAGTAAAAAATACCTATCCATACATTTTATACCATACATGTGGGCATATCCACACAGCATATGTGAAAACCAGCTCATTCAAAACAATCATAGCATTGGGCCGGGGATTTATTTACCTCAGTGATTCTGCCACCTCCCTCATAAGCACAAGGTCCCAAGTTCAATCCCTGTTACTCCCCAAAAAATAATAACAGCGTGAACATAGCACAATAATTACATTCGAAGCCTGAAGCCTTTCCTTTGTTAAAAAGCTAATGATACAAAACTTTTTTAGGAATCCAAAAATAATCTAAAGAAGACAGCTTTCTTACTATATGACTTATTTTTTGCAGTACTGGACATTGAACCCAGGGGTTCATGCATACTAGGCAAGGAATCCACCACCAAGCCCTTTTAATTTTTTATTTTGAAACAGGGTCTCACTAAATCACTCAGGCTGGCCTCAGACTCCTGCCTCAGTCTCCCAAGTAACTGAGATTACAAGCACGTGATTGAATTGGTCGTTAGGCAGTACCTCAGGTTATCTGGGAGTACTCACCCCTCCAGTCATGTGTCCCACTGGGAAGACCCCCATTAGTAGAAGGCAGTTGAGGGAAGGACCACTGTGCTATGGGGCTCTACATCTCCCGGTTGCTCTGCATGTTGGTGACTCTTGTTGTGTACGGGTGACCATGTCCCTGCTTTTCTAGACCTCCTGACAGTGAGTGAGACGGCCAATGAGCCCCCTCAGGATGAAGGTAATTCCTTCAACTCACCCCGAAACCTGGCCATGGAGGCGACCTACATCAACCACAATTTCTCCCAGCAGTGCTTGAGGATGGTGAGGAAGCACTCTCGGGTGGGCCTTAAGGGCTTTATCTGGTCACCTGCTATGACACCATCTGCTTTGCAGCAGGCTTGGCACTGAGGGATTGTGTGGGACAGCTGAAGTCCCTACCTATAGGGGATTAAAAGCTTGGGCTTTGACCTCAGGCTGCCTGACTTTGAACCACTGGTCCACTACTTGACAGCTATAGAGGCATTCCCTCTATAAAGTTACAGTCCGATGATTCTTCCCTCATGTGGTGAAATCATACACTGCGTCCTTCAAAAAGAAAAGGATGTTCCGGCCCTCAAGCAGCTTTGCTGCAGTGGAGCAGGAAAGACAGTGGATACTAAATTGATGTTATGGCACAGAGCAGTCTGTAGTGATGGAGAGAGGCGGGGAGGGGCAGGGCTGCTAACTGTCAGGATTCTCTGGGTGCTAAAAGTTGGGAGGAGGAAAATAGGCATAAAAACTCCAGGGTCACAGGGAGCTAGCCGCCCTGACTGAGCAGTGCTGGGTCTGGCTGATTGGGATTGGGGATATCGTTGGCACTGTCTCGTGACAGCTTTGTCATTTTTCCAGGGGAAGGAAAGATACAACTTCCCCAACCCAAACCCATTCGTGGAGGACGACATGGATAAGAACGAAATTGCCTCCGTTGCTTACCGGTACGTCGTCCCCATGGTGGGGAGCACAGACCCTGCCCAGGTGGGTGATGCACCTAAGCAGAGGACCCCCGGTGACATTTGAGTTTCTCCTTTGTTGCAGTTACCGCAGGTGGAAGCTTGGCGATGACATTGACCTTATTGTCCGCTGTGAGCATGATGGCGTCATGACGGGAGCCAATGGGGAAGTGTCCTTCATCAACATCAAGACACTCAACGAGTGGGACTCCAGGGTGAGGTGCTGCCCATCACCCTCGTGCCACCATTCTGGTCCCTGCGGTGTATGCTGTCATGGGCCACTTGCGTGCAGTTTCTTTCCCCTTTTGTTACGCACAGAGCTACCTTAGAGGGGTTGTCTTGTGGGTCTTTTCCCTCTACCTGCTTCCTCACTGACAGAGGAGTGACCTTAAGTTTTAAGAACTTTCTGCTTACTTTGCACACCAGAAGCAGGGCCCCCTCCCAGTACTCTCTTCTCTGTTCTGATCTGACCTCCCACTGGCCTCTGCTCTCTGTGTGCAGCTGGCTTTGAACTCTCTCTGTTATCTGGGTCATCAGTTCTGCATGCCTTGTGGCTCTCTTTACTCCAGCCGCTACCTCTCTTCCGCTTTTCAATTCCTTTATCCAACTCCTTTGCTTACTGAACTCAGAGATGCTGAGATGTACTCAGAACTGACCCTCTCAAGGCACCTTGAAAGAAGCCTGCTCCCTGACCCCTTTGCATTCTCCCTCCTGCCACTACTTGGCACTGTGGGCCGATGCTCTTTCTCAAGTTACCCAGGCTCAAGTCCCACACGGGACAGTGAGCACCAGTGCTCTGTTGCCTCTGTGCAGAATAAAGGCCACAGGATGGTGAAGCCTGGGGCCAGCTGCACCGAGTGGCTCTCTGAGGTGTGATAGAGAGGGCCCTTTGGTCCCACTTCCTTGACATGATACCTGCTGAGCAAGCAGGCAGGCTTGCTGGGCCGTGGCCCAGGGCTGGACTCTACGGTGAGCTCCGAGTGGCATTTGGAGTTGTAGCGCCTGTGTCTCTTCACACTGGGTGTTGCTGTGTTGTTCTGGGCCTGCACTTCTCTGCTCCATTCACCTGCTTTCTGCTGAGCCCCCATCCTTTTTGACTCCCAAAGGAGCCTTCTTTTAAGGTCAGTCCCCTCTGCAGCTCTCCTTGCCCTAAATCCTAAGCCTAATACAAACTTGTATTCATGTTCCTGGACTTTACAATGCCCTAACAGAAACTTAGTGGCTTCAAACAACACCTATTTATTAGCTCATAGTGTTGTCTGGCAGAGGGGGCCACACCTTGTGGTTTCATTCTCTGTTGGGGGATTCAAAAGGCTGAAATCAAGGGGTCAGCAGAACTGAGCTCTGCAAGTTCTAGAAGGAAATCCCCTGATGCTCGTTCTGGCTAGTGGCAGGGTTCAGATTCTTGCAGTTGTACAACTGGGGCCCCTGTTGCTTTCTAGGTGTCAACTGGGGGCGTCTCTGAGCTCCTAGAAACTACCTCACTCCTTGTCCCCCACTTCCATGCCAGCAATGACACAATAAATCCTAGCTCTGACGTCTACACCCAGACTTCAGTCTCCTATGGCTGGGGGAGGCCCGCCCGCAGTCTGACCTGCCGGCTGGCTCTGGCTACCACAGGAGCTCCCGGCACCTTGGGCACAGGCTGCCTTTCCCCCTGACCACTTTCCTCCCACAGCACTGTAACGGCGTTGACTGGCGGCAGAAGCTGGACTCGCAGCGTGGAGCCGTCATCGCCACCGAGCTCAAGAACAACAGCTACAAGCTGGCCCGGTGGACCTGCTGTGCTCTGCTGGCCGGGTCCGAGTACCTCAAGCTCGGGTGAGAATCCTGTCTGGGGCCAAGGACTGACCTGGGAAGAGGGTATGGGGGCGTGACGGCATGGTTCTTCCCTTCTCCTTGGGGAAAGCATCACCATTTGAGCCCAGTGTTGCTGTCGCTGTGCTGCCCTGTTGCAACCACTCATCTTCCCCCTGCAGTTATGTGTCCCGGTACCACGTGAAGGACTCCTCTCGCCACGTTATCCTGGGCACCCAGCAGTTCAAGCCCAATGAGTTTGCCAGCCAGATCAACCTGAGCGTGGAGAACGCCTGGGGCATCCTGCGCTGCGTCATCGACATCTGCATGAAGCTGGAGGAGGGCAAGTACCTCATCCTCAAAGACCCGAACAAGCAGGTCATCCGTGTGTACAGCCTGCCCGATGGCACCTTCAGCTCTGATGAAGACGACGAGGATGAGGAAGAGGAGGAGGAGGAAGAGGAAGGTGCGTAGCAAGCCTCTGAAGACCAGAGGGATCTGTGGGCTGGAAGGGAGCGAGCACTAAAACCAGCCCCATGAAAGGCTGGAGACCAAGGTCTTGGAGGGAAGCAGCTGGGGAGAGGCCAGGGAGGGCCTGGTGCTAGCCAGTGGTGTAGAGAAGGAAAGGCCAGCTCCTGCCAGTTACCCTCCTGCCAGCTGCCTCGTCAGCCTCACCATCTGGAGTGTGAGGCGCTGTCCCAGCCCGGTGAGGATCCCAGCTCCTGCGAGGAGGTGTAGAAAATTCTGAGCGATTCACAAAAGGGTCGGATAGAAAAGTGGGCCTCACGTCACACAACATAGCTCATTTCTCTTCATGTTTTGTGTCTTTCAGAGGAAGAAACTTAAACTAGACTGATGTGCAACCAGAGTTTGTAATTCTACCAGTCCTGGGAGGGCCCTTGATGCCTACAGGAAAGTCCATCTGTCTCCTGCTCTCTGCCAGTTGGCAGGTGGAATAAAGTTGAAGTCTTCTTAGTCTCTTTCCTTCATTGTGTGCCTCCGTTGGGGACGTACGGCCCTGGGACTCGGTGGGTTCTGTCTGGAGTTCACACGCTGGGTTCCACCATGTGTTCTTGGGAGTTGTTAGACTTATGTACCTGCTAAAGGATGAATTCTCTAGTGCTTTGTTCTGGGAACCCCTTGAAATTAGCCTTTCCTGGGTGAAGGACAGCCATGGAGGTGCCCCTTATGCAGGGCCCAAAGGACCCCACGGGCCCAAGCAAGAGGGCCTGCGGCTGTGTGTGCGGGCCCTAGCTTAGTGTCTGAGAAGCACTGGGCACAGATGGGTATTAGAGATGAAGCCAAGGGGGTTCTGCTCAGGAAGAAGACTGCCTTTGATGGAGGGCCCTCTGGGGGTGACTGAATGCTTTCTAAACTGTCTTCACGCTTAGCCTGGGCTGGTGACAGATCTCGGCCCAGTGCCCACAAAGCCATGTGTCCTGAATAAGAGCTGTGAAAGTTTAGGCCATGTGGACTTTTAAGTGGATACTCTTGGACGCTGTGAACAAGTTACCCTGCCAGAATCATTAAGCTTTCTATAAACCTCCCCTGAGCCTCCAGCAGAACTAATGCAGGTAAGGAAACAGGCTTAGCTGAAGTAGAATTCCTAGTAGTTTTTTCCCCTTTGGATTGAACCCAGGGGTGTTCTACCTCAAAGCTGTTATCCCAGGCTTTTGTTGAGATGGTCTTTTAAATTGCCCAGGCTGGCTTCAAACTTGGGCCCCTCCTGCCTCAGCCTCCCAAGTAGCTAGGTGTAGGGAATAGGGAAAGGGGACGTTACTAGAACCTCTGCAGTAAGACCTAGTCTCCTGCGAGGCATGGCAGCACAAGGCAAATGAACTTATACAGGAAAGGTAGAAAAAATGAGTCTTAAGAAGCTAAGCTTTGGGCCTGATCAGTGCTGCTCTGGGCAACAAAGACAAAAGCCCCCAAGCTTGCTGCATGTTTATTTAGTACTTCGGGAGAAACAAATGTCACCTGATGGGAGCTGCGGAATTCCTAGATCAATGAGGAACTATGCAGATGAAGATTTTGTTCCTCCCAGGATGTCTTCAGCTTGTGTAATCTTGTCCTGAAGCATCAGAGCATCACCAGACCATTGAGGTCTCAGTTGTGACCAGAGGCCAAAGTGGAATTATGTCTCAAAATGCCATAGCTGGCCTGTAGGCAGGAGAACTAGGCCCTAATCAAATGCTTTTTCCCCAAATTACTTAGAATTGCTCTAACAGCTAGGATTACAGGAATGAATGGGCCACTACACCAGGTCCTAAAGTTAGAATTGTAATCAAACTTACCAGCCTGGCAAACAAGCAGGCAATAGTTTGGGGAACTTTGGTGTCAGGCATACTGAAAAAAGCAAATGTGCTTGAGTTTTCAGTACAGAGTGTTAAAAAATACACATTCAGGTAGTGGCAGGTGCCATGGAGTTTGAATCATGGACCAAGATCCATCACATCGCCTCTTACATACCTGTGGCCCAATCCAGAGGATTAACTGGATGTTACTGTCGAGCTCATTCTCAATCTTCAAAACCACCATGAGCTAGACATCCCTGGCTTCTTTTGGGTGAGGTATTTTGCATAGCCTGTCAGGTTTCGATTCTAACTTTTTTCTTTAATGTACATGTGTTTGCAATACAAAGTTCCAAGTCTCAGGATCTTGCGCTTGCCAGGCAGGCGCGGCACCACTGAGCTAAATTCCTGGCCTCTACAAGGCTCCAAGTCTTGATCAACACATGCCTACTTCAGAACTGCTTTATGCCAACCACTAGGGAAAGAGGTGCGGTCACCACAGTGACTATGAAAGATGATTTCTGCCCTCGTGGAGCTTTTCTCTGGTGTTGAAACAGCATGAAGAACACAGCATTTCTTAGTGGGTGCTTAGACCTGAGAGGTCAGGGAAGATTCTAGAACCAGTCCCCACTGCACTTTTTAATGAGAGACGCAGCAACCATGCCAAGCTGCAAGGTTGTTTCCACATGGTCTTCCCACAAGAGCCCTCAGCTGCATTTCATGTGAGTATGCGATGGCCTTTGAAAGTTCTGGTCCTTCCCTTGAACAGGTGCTCTGCTCTGTCCAGGTAAATTTCATTATGAGCTGACACAGACCACCACACGGACAAAGGACAAACACATGGTCCCTTAACCTGTTACTTCTTCAAAGCATAATTTGTATTTTCTGAAGCAGTCAGGGACTTAAAAACATTTTTGTTTGGGGCCGGGGATTTGGCTCAGTGGTTCTGCCGCCTGCCTCGAAAGCAAAAGGACCCAGGTTCAATCCCTGGTACCAAAAAAAACACCATTTTTGTTAAAAGCCATTAACTCCAGCTGGGCCTACAGATAGGTTACAGAAGGTGAAAGAACAAAGCTTCAGCATTCTATAAAACTCTGGGTCAAACCTTCAACTCTGCATAGAGGCATGTTAGTCATTTATGGAATGTTAGTCCAAAAGTTGACAAAACAAGCAAGGCCTGCCTGTAATCCCAGCAGGAAGGCTGAGGCAGGAGGACTGCCTCAAGTTCAAGGCTAGTCTGAACTACAAAGTGAGACTGTCTCAAGAAAATAAAGCTGACAAAACAAGGTTTATTAGCTCTAAATTTACCTAGCCTATCTCTACACCCTTCAAGATAGGACACCGAGATAAACTGTGACATTCAACTATGTCCAGAATCTCCAGACAAACCGAGGGTCACCATGGATCCCAGCAGAGCAGCATGACTAAAACTGCCCCTGAAGTTATGAGAATTCCTGTGAAACCAGGACTGAGCTCATGATCTGCTGAACCCCAGTCCACTACAGGACCACCACCCCCCCCCAACTGGTCTCTGGTCTCTTGTGCCCTTATCTGATCTCTTCATCAGGGTGTGCCCCTTTTCCTTATTTTTCTTAACTTCCCAGTTGAAGTTCTTGCCTATAAATTCACTGTCCCTTTAGTTTTAATTTCCACTGCTACTAAAGCAAGGACCCACACACGCTATGCGGGGACAATGCAGGGGCCACGTGCCACCCTAGCAGCCATCCCTGATCCTCTGGTTTGCATTGTCTCCCTTCAGCCATGCACACTGGGTTTCAACTCCAGACTCCACCTCTGAAGTGCGATCTTGGAGCAGGACCTAGAGGCTGGGCCTGCAGATGTCCAATGGGAAACTAACACTAGAATGGAACTTAAGGGTTTATTACCTTAAAACCTTCGGTCAGGTCCTTGCTCAGCACTTAGGCATGTTAATCACTTAAGGAAGGAGTGCCTAGGTTCCCTAAACTTATCCAGCCTATCTCTTTAAGACAGGCCACCAAGATCAGAGTAACTAATGTCCAGGACTTGCAGGGACACCCAGCTTTTAAAAACTGCCAGCTTTTACATCCCAGACCCCTGGGACTGATGCCTAGAAGTCATTGTCCTAAACCTGCGGCCCCCTCGGGATCCAGGTAAAGAAGAGCGTAGCAGACCACCCCATGGTTAGGTCAGCCCCCCCCCCAAGCAGAAGCAATTACCCCATGATAGGAACCCAGCTGCCCCCAAGCAGAAGCTTTCCATCTCATGGTGGAAACCAAATTGTGCCCTGAAGCTATGACGGCTCTCTCAGAACCAGCCCTGCCATACTGAGCAACCAGCGGCATTGCCTACACTTCCAGCTATGCAAAACCTGCAAATATGCAAATCTCCAGTCCTTGCCTTTATTCCCCTTTTCTGTAAAACCTCAAAGCTTCTCCCAAGCCCTGGGAGTCAGGTCTCGAACCTCTTTGTCTGGGTTTCCTGATTAAAAGCGCCTTTCCTGTCCGCACCACTGTCCACTCCTAGAGGGCTGGCTGAGCCTAGTCTACTGGGACTTCAAGAACTGGGCTTTTGCCCCAGAGCTCAGTTAACAATCTTAAGCAATAGGTGTCATCTCTAAACGCACATTTGGCCAGCCACCCAGCTACATATTGGAAACAGCCTCCTTTCTCTGTTCTCCTGGTTACTGGAAGCCCAAATCAGCCTTGATTGCTACTCTGTAAACAAGACGCTTAATCACAGTAGCAAACGCTTGTTAACTGGTTTATGGGTCTTGGCTTCACCACCATAGATTCCAATCCCACAAAACCGGGTGGGTGGGCCAAGTAGTTCTAAATTATTTAGTCTCTGGCTACATTTGGGGGGTAATGTAAAAACTGGGATTTTCTCCATATGTGTCCCCAACCCTCACACTGGAAGACACGAATCTTAAAAACAATCTCCCACTCTGTCTCACCCTAGCACTCCAGAGATGCCAACCCTCCCCACTAAGCTTCCGAACCCCACCCACCTAACCCCACCCTCCGTAGACGCGGGCAGCACGTGCGCACCGCTCCCGCGCTCGCACAGGGTCTAGCCAGCCCCTCCCGGCGTGCCGCGCGCCGAGCACGTGACCTTGCCCCCTCCCATTGGCCAAGGAGGAGGGGCGGGACTGCCGCCACCGCGCGAGCGAGCCCGCGCCCCTCTACTGCGGCCTGCAGTCTGAGTGGTGGGGAAGTTCGCGCTCCAGGGCTGCGGGAGTCGGTGGCCAGGGGCGGGTGCGTGGCCTGGGCACCGCGAACGCGTGGGCGGCAGCTACCTGCGCGGTTACCGGCAGGCAAGAGGGCACCTTCGCGTGCGCAGTCAGCGGCGGCAGGTGTGCTGGAGCATCCCGGTCACGTGACCCAGCCGGCGAGCGAGGTCTTGCAGGGGGCGGGGCCCTCCAGGGCACGCCTCCGGGGTCTAATCAGAGGGCGGAGGCGTGGCCAGGGAGATTAGTGCTCCTAACGGGTCCTGCTTGGGAAAGGCCCCTGGGTATGAAATGGGGTCCGGATTCCGGGACTCCTGCGTGCCCCAGATCTCACCGGGGAAAGACGGAGCTAGGGCAGATGAGCTCCAAGGCCCGCCCTGCCTCTAACTAGGTGTGCTTCCTCGGGAGCACGGGGCTCTCGCCTCCTGCTAGGCCTCGAGGTGCGAGGTGTCCCCTCCGGTCTGCCGCAGGATGGGCCTCTCTGCCGCGCTCTGGGGACCCCTGGGGCTGCTGCTATCACTCGCCCTGCCCCCGGCCGTGGGCGCACACACGCACCGGGACTACTGCGTGCTGGGCGCGGGGCCCGCGGGGCTGCAGGTGGCCGCCTTCCTGCACCACGCAGGCCGGGACTACGAGGTGTTTGAGCGCACGCCTGCACCCGGCAGCTTCTTCATGCGCTACCCACGGCACCGCAAGCTTATCAGCATCAACAAGCGGTACACGGGCAAGAACAACGCGGAGTTCAACCTCCGCCACGACTGGAACTCTCTGCTCAGCCACGACCCCCGGCTGGTCTTCAGACACTACTCGCGAGCCTACTTTCCCGATGCTGGTGACATGGTGCGCTACCTGCGTGATTTCGCAGACAGGCTGGGGCTCCATGTGCGGTACAACACAAATATTGTCCATGTCACTTTGAAGAAGGACTGGCAGGCCTGGAACAGCCACTACTTCATCCTGACCAATCAGAAGGGCCAGGTGTACCAATGCAGGTAAGGTGCCAGGGTCACCTGCTAAGCCAGGAGGACCTTTCCTAGAAGGAGACCACCCCTGTTCCCCTGAGATGTGCGATGAATGGACGGAAAGGCATTTCACTCCTTGCTCCCACTGAAATTCAATGCCAAGAGGTTTGGCTCAGCCACCATGTAAATGTGCTCTTAAAAACTTGTGGTCAAGTGTTTGGAAAATGCTAACAGTTTCCTTCTATCAGGATTTGTCGTCTTTGTGTTCACTGAGATGCTCCCGGGGTTGAGTATTCAGCATAAGCAGTTTAGCCACAAACCCTTTCTTGTAAGAGCCCCTCATAGAACTGGTGTTTCCAAAGGCTGGGGAATGTGGGGTCAAGTGTCCCACGAGTATCAGATCAGCTTAGTGGGATTTCAGAAGTGAACAAGAGTTGGAGGTCCAAGTAGTGCTTCCTAAGACTGGTTTTAGCCAGGTGTGGTGGCGAATGCTGTAATCCCAGCACTCAGGAGGCTGAGGCAGGAGGATTGCCACGAGTTCCTAACCAGCCTGTGTTACATAGTGAGACTCTGTCTCAAAAAAAAGGCCAGTCTTAGTTTGCTTTGACTTGGGAGGCAGCCTTATACTGTGTGTACAGTGGAGCACTCCAAACTTCCTTAATCATCACAAGAAGGCGGGGAGTTTGTCAGTCCCCATTGGACACATGCAGACCTGAGGCTCAGAGGAGTTAAGTAGTCAGATGCTGTCACATAGCTAATACATGGTGGAGCTTCGATTTGAGCTCATATTTTCTGACTCTAAAGCCTGTGTTCTTTCTGCTGCACCCACCCCTTTGCTGACCATTAGCCTTGCACCTGCCTCCAGGCAGTGCTTAGCCAGTGTTCACCTGCCTGACACCAGGGCCAGCACTGCTCCTTGCTTGTGCCGCTCCAGGCAGAAGGCCTTGTGCCAATTTGTACTCTTACATTTTAGGCAGCTGTGCCACAGTGGAGGAGAATCCAAGAGGAGCAGAGCAGACAAGAAAATGAGAACCAATGGGCTATATGTGCCCCTTCCATAGCCCAATCCATTCTGCTTTGAAACTGCCCTGTGGTTAAACTGTTCTTCTGCAGGCTGGCAGGATCCACCTCCCTAGCCACCCACCACCAGATTGTAATCCCCACCCATCAATGAGCAGGACTTAGGAATCAGACTGATCTGTGCTCATATTCTGGCCCTGCTGCCCTTGGAATTCCTCTAGGCTGTGGGCTGCAGGGCCTGTGTCTCCACCTGTAAAGCTGGCCACATAATGCCAACTCAGGCTCACTTGGGAGCAGGTGTCGCGATGCACAAACCCACTAGCACTGGGCTAGTACCCAAGCGCCACTGGGTAGGTAAGTGTCTGTGCCAGGCACCATAGAGGGGAAGCGCAACGTCAGACTGTTCTCATCCCCCAGTGGGATACTTAGTGCCACTGCCGTGATCAAAGTGAGAATTTTTCAACTTCTCATAGCATCATATTCTTGCAGTCAGAGAGTGAAGTTAATGCCTACATCTGGTGTATTTCCAGCCCAGCATGAAGGGAAGTATACAGCTGGACTTCGGGCTCAGGGAGAGGCAAGGGTGGTGTTCCAGGTACCCTGCGATAGGTCAGTATGGTGAGTGAATGAATGAATGCCCTCCTGTTTTCTTTAGGACCCAGCAGTTGAGGTGAGGCAGGAGAGCCCAGAGAGTGATGTTCAGAGTGAGACTCAGCCATCTTTCCTCTGTCCCCACCTGCAGCGTCCTTCTTGTAGCCACAGGTCTGTCAGTCCCCAACCTGGTGGACTTCCCAGGCTCCGAATATGCGGAGGGTTATGAGTCTGTGTCCGTGGACCCTGAGGACTTTGTGGGTCAGAACGTGCTCATCCTGGGTCGGGGGAACTCTGCCTTCGAGACAGCGGAGAACATCTTGGGTGTCACAAACTTTATCCACATGCTGAGCCGCTCCCGGGTGCGGCTGTCCTGGGCCACCCACTACGTTGGAGACCTCAGGTATGCTGCATCCCTGCTTGTGTATTCCATACCCAGCATCAGGCTGTCTTGCATTACTGTAATGAAATACCTGAGGCTGGGTGGTTTAGAAAGAGAAGAGCTTCATTTAGCTTATAGTTATGGAGTCTGAAAGTCCAAGCCGCATGGTGCTGGTTCTAGAAGTCTCCCCACTCCCAGGCATGCATCACCTCCTAGCAGATGGCATTGTGGTGACAGTAGTACACAAGACAGGGACCTGTCCCACGGTGAGACAGGAAGCCAGAAACAGGGCAGGGGCCAGACTTGTTTCTTTCATAACACTAGCTGCAACTCCTGGGTTATTCAAGAAATACCTTCATCTCTTCCCAGGGTGGTGACCCGGTTATCTCCCGCTAGGCCCCACCTTTTAAAGGTGCACCACCCCCTACTGGGGCCCTGGGAGCCCAGCTTTCAATACGTGAACCCTTGGGGACACACCACATCCAAACCCTAAACGGGGCAGAACCTCCTCTCACACCTTTGCTGAACTCACCAGCCCTGCTCTGAGTCCCCTTGTCCTCTCCTTGCATTCTCCTGGGACCCCAGAGCCATCAACAACGGCCTGCTGGACACCTACCAGCTGAAGTCCCTGGACGGGCTTCTTGAGTCAGACCTGAGAGATCTGGCCATCGTGAAGGATGCCAAGGGCAAGTTCCACATCACCCTGGGGTTCTTCCTGGAGGAGACCAATGCCAGCCGGAGTGCCGACGCCATCCCCCTGCCCCAGGATGACAATGACAACTTTGCCATGCGTGTGGCCTACGACCGGGTCATCCGCTGCCTGGGCTGGAAGTTCGACTTCTCCATTTTCAACCAGTGAGTCCAGACTGGGGAGGAGGTAGCTCTCTTGGTAAACCCTTCTGACTCTCCCTGGGGGATGGAGCAGCCCTCAGTGAGCCCGGGACAGGAGCTGTCTGCTGTTGGTCCTAGGTGACACTGAGCTCCTCTTCATCCAGGCGAGGACCCCCACCTATGATGTGGGCAAGCCAGCTCAGACATGCGGTGTTGAACTTGCACAAAGGCTAGCAGCACAGGGGCTCAGGGCCCAGGCTCAGGATCAGCCTGAGGGTCTCTGGTGACCCATTCTGTGAGCTCTAGAAAGGTTACTTTCCCACACACACCCCGCTTCTTCATCTTTATAGTGGGGTTAACAGTCTCTGTCTCATACAGTTATTCTGAGGTTAACATAAGAGTACTTAGCATAAACTGTATGCTCAATAAAAGTTTGCTAAAACCATTTGTAATTGTATTTTGAAGAATTGCTTCACTGAGCCTGGTTTTTAGATGATGCTACCCAATATTGTGTGAGTGTTGGGGTTGAACCATCCACCTAGTCTCTCTCATTTGCCTCGTGGCCAGGGTACAAGAGGACAAGGGCCTGCCCAGACCCTCTTTTCCCATCAGGTGACAGCAGAGTTCAGCGTTGGTCAGGCTTGAATGCTAGGTCTGTTCCTGACCTGCCATGTCCTTGCCCTAAGCCTCAGTTACTTCACCTGTGCAACAGAGATGATTACCCCACTTCCAAGGATCACGGTGAGGTTAATAAGATGAGGGACAAAAAGGACATACTCTGTGCTGGGCCTGGAACACGTGCTTCATCCGCGGCAGCTGCTGTCACTAACAGCCCTGTCCACTCCCAGGTCCCTGCGACTCTCCTCTGGGAGCGAGTTCAGCAAGAAGTACCCGCTGATCAGAGCAAGCTATGAATCCAAAGGAACCCGGGGTCTCTTTATCCTGGGTACTGCCAGCCACTCGGTGGACTACCGGAAATCAGCAGGGGGCTTCATCCACGGCTTCCGGTACACAGGTGAGTCTGGCTGGGAGGTCTGCTGTCCCCAGGCGGAACCACTCTCATTATTACCAGGGCTTAAAACATGCTTCCGATTTCCAGGAGCATTAACAGGATTGCTTATAACCTCCCTGACCAGGGCCCAGCATCAGCTAAAAGTAGACACCTGTGTGGTGGCTGTGATGTTACGACCCCTGCAGGCCTAGGAGTGCAGCATCCCTGAAGCGAGGTCTTGCCTGGCTCAGCCCCTGCTGGGCATCCCTGACATTGGAGTTGTCCAGGAGGTGGCCTCTCCACCCTCGAGGGTCACTGTGAGGGCCCCAAAAGGTCATGGCTGGGCATTGGGCAGCTCTGAAACTTCACACACACATAGACTCATTGGGTGCTGTCAGATTTTGTTGAAAGCTGCAATTGGATTATATCAATTAGTTCTTTTTCAAAACTCAGAACTGAAGGTATAAATTTTCTGCTAACTTGACCATGTTTGCATGTAAATACAAAAACAGTTTTTAAAAAATTGTTTGACTATTTAGGGGTCAAGGGTACATAGTAGGGCTGTAGAAGGACATCAGAACCAGCAGGTAAATGTTAAAAATAAAACACACCTTCTCACGATTTAAAAAAAAAAAATTTGTTTGACTCATTGCACAAGAATAACCCCCAACCAGAAATTGCTGCTTTGTGATTTTTAAGGAAGTAGAAAATGAGAGCAAAAAATGAATTCTCACATGTTGGGCACTGTCAGTAGGCCGATCACTGTGAACACATGGCCTTGCAGTGTCACCAGCTCCCTACGGGGTGGCTGTGAAACCTTCATACTTACTTTTCCCATTCATTCATTCATTCATTCATTCATTTACAGAGATCTTTCGCTGTGTTGCCCAGCCAGGCTGGTCTCAAACTCATGAGTTTAAGTGATCCTCCTGCCTTGGCTTCCTGATAGCCTGCACCACAGGTGCACTGTACCACCACACCCAGCTGAAACCTTCTTTTTTTTGGTACCAGGGATCGAACTCAGGACCTTGCGCTTGTGAGGCAGGCACGGAGCCACTGAGTTAAATTGCCAGCCCTTCATTTTTCTTTTTTTCTTTTGGTACCGGGGATCAAACTCGGGACCTTGCGCTTGCAAGGCAGGTGCCAGAACCACTGAGCTAAACCCCTGGCCCTCATTTTTCTTTTTTAAGAAACATCTGAGGGCCAGAGTTGTAATGATTTCTTCACTAGATCTGGAGCCCCAATTATTAGTGGAATAATAATTCTCCCAACTAAGACTGGTCATACTATGAAAAAGATTATTAGGAAGGATTGAACACTAACAACAGCATTGTAAATCTGAGTATCTCACACAAGAAGCTCTGGTTGCCTTAGACAGAATGAAAAGACTTAAAGCAATGCCTACTCTTCCGGCTCCAGCACCAGAGCACATATCCTATGCTGATAGCTTTGTGATTTGTAGGGAATAATTAGTGGTTTATGAACAGAAGTGAAGGAGAAAATGGCTGAGCAAGCATTAAACTGAATCTGAAGACCAAGTCCCGAGGTGAAGATTCATATTGTTGTTTTTTGTTTTTTGGGGGTTTTTTGCTTAAATTTTTTTATTGGGACATTTTAGGTATACAATACATTTACATTTATCATTGGGTGCTTGTACGTGTACATGATGTATCTTGGTTCTTATTTTTTCGCCATTACCTATGCGCCCTTCACCCCTCTGAAGATTCATATTGAATTCCAAATTCAGAGGAGCAGCTTCAATTCTGCTGGAGCCTCACCCACCTTTTTTACCCCACAACAGAGACAGAAGTAGATTGAAGCCAGTTGACCAGGGTATTTAGCTATTAACTGAATTTCCCTGGGTGGATTCCACCAATCTAGTAAGGATTTAATTTAAAATGGTTAGTTTGCATTCAGTGGATGTAGAGTAAGTCTGTAACCCTCAAGTGTAAGGCATTCATTTGAGGCTCTGAAGGCTCCTGGTCTATGCAACCTAAATTCCTAGTCAGTCCAGTGTCGATGATATTAATGGCAGGGGGAGAGAAGAAAATTATAGTTTTCGTGTGTTGTGACACTCCTATACTCCCAGATACTCAGGAAGCTAAGGCAGAAGGATGGCATGCTCAAGGCCAGCCTGCTACCTTAGCAAGTCTCTGTCTCAAAATACGATAAACATTTTGAAGGGAGCTAGGGATGTAGCTTAGTGGTAGAGCACTTGGCTAGTGTGTACAAGGTGTAGGTCCAATCCCCAGTACCACAAAAGACAAGTTGGTAGTTTGACAAATGATGGTAGAAAGATTTTTTTTTTTTCATTTTCAAATTGTCATTTCTTTTTATATGATTCGTTGTTAGAAACATTGTTAGAGATGTGGGGTGTATTAATATGTGAAAATAAAAGTTAATAATGCTAGAACAGCTATGAATGTTGGCATAATCTACCTTTTTTGATCTTGAATAATGATTCATTTGGGTAAAAATTGGGGCCCGGGGATTTAGCTCAGTGGTTTCCGCCGCCTGCTGCGCAAGCACAATGACCCGAGTTCGATCCCCAGTACCAAAAAAAAAAAAGTCGTGAGTGGAGTTCAACCTCCTAGGAATAATAGCTGATAAAGATTATAGATGAGTAGTGGTGTTTTGTTTCATGTGTACGATGAGGATAATGTTACAGTGTTTGGGTTAAATATGGATAATGTAATTGTTAATGTAATGTAAGTCTTCATTTTTCTGAAGAAACACCCTACGGTCAGAGCTGTAATGATTTCCTCACTTTTAACGGAGTTGCACTGCAGACCAGGCTCTTTTTTCAAGTCTTCTCTTCTGGTTTCTCGATACTAGACCGGAGCCCTCGCTGTGGGGAGGAGCTGTCTGGAGTGTGGCGTGTTCCCCGTCCTGTCATGCACCTGGTCGGGAGTGACAGCCTCTGCCCCTGTGGCTGTGGTTCTTACATAAGCTCATTTGAGCAGCCCTGGAAATCAGCTCTCAACCCTCCTACACTCACACTTGCCTTTGCAAACAGGGAATGACAGCAGAAAGTCCGGCCAGCAGTCTCGCAGCCCCGCAGCTGGAGGCACCTGGGGTGGCTCCTCAGGCTGCTGCGTGGATGCTGTGATGCTGGGTGGCAGCTGCTCCTGAATTAATTATGCCATAAAAACTGCAAGGGACTCATGTCCGGCTTCCCGACTTTTCCATACATATTTAATCCGCTGCCTCACGTTACCTTAATGCTCAATTTTACATTTTACTGTCCTGCCAGTTTGGCAGAGAAAGCTGATCATGTTTTGCTGTTGATTTCCAGCCCATAGATCTCATACCCCACATGCGCTGTCAAGAAAGGAAACTTGGAAGAGGGCTGTAGCCATCTGCAAACCAAAATGATTGCCAGGCTGCCTCACTCTTGTGCCGAGGCCCTCCCTGTCCCACTGTCCTGGCGCACACCGTCCTGTCTGCCCTGCTTCCTCTGTCCCCCATTCTTCCCCAGCTCACACAACTTCATCCTCAGCCCTGTGAGACAGAGCCTGTTATTTCAACCCCATTCTCTAGTGAACAGAGAAGTTAAGTAGCCTGGCCGGAGTCACGCAGCCGGGGGATGGCAGAGGTGGATTTGAATCTGCCCCGTCCTACTCTAGAGCTTCCACGTAAGCACTAAGACTCAGGCAAAAGAGGACTGGTCCTTGGTACATGGGCAGCCGACTGCTATGGTCACTGAGCAGTTGACAGGCCTCCTAGGGGAGGGACAGCAGGGAGTCTTTCCCTCACTGTAAGAATCTGCCTAGACCTTGCTCATTGTCCAGCTGAGGAATGGTCCCAAAGGAAACAAGACAAGATGGCAGAGTAGGGCCCATGATTTAGCTCAGTGGTGCTGCCGCCTGCCTTGAAAGCTCAAGGTCCTGAGTTTAATCCCCAGAACCAAAAAAAAAAAGGCAGAGTAAAATGACAGCAGCAAAGATGGTGGCACAGACGGCCAGCACCTGGGAGGTAGGACATGCTAGAAGCCCAGTCCACTGGCCCCTGATTCACTCTGCAGACTGCCTCTGTCTTCCCCTCACCTGCTGTGGACCTCTCTGCCTCTCCTGACTGACTGGGCATCCTACCACTGGCCATGCTGACTTCCCATTGAGTGTATAGTACAAAAGTACAAAAACTAGAGCCGGGGATTTAGCTCAGTGGTGCCTCGTCTGCCTCAAAAGCACAGGCTCCTGAGTTCAATCCCCTGTACTGGGGGGAAAAAAATACTAAAACTATCTTTCTTTTTCTTTTTCAAATACTGGGGATGAAACCCATGGCCTCGCACTTGCTAGGCTAGTGCTGTACGACTGAGCTACATCCCCAGCCTTTTTTATTTATTTATTTATTTATTTATTTATTTATTTTTTTGCCTTTTTTATTTTTTATGTTGAGATTCTCCTTCAGTTGCCCAAGCTGGCCTTGAACTTGTGATCCTCCTGTCTCAGCTTCCTGAGTACTTAGGATTACAGGTGTGCCACTGCAGCAAAATCTTTCTTTCTTTCTTCTGAGACAGTTTCACTGTAGTTTAGGCTGGCCTAAGACTTTTAATCATCTTGCCTCAGCCTCCCAAGTAGCTAGGATTACAGTTGTGTGCCTCCACTTCTGGCTCAAAACAACTTTTCTTTAAACAAAAGCTCTCATCCCCTTCTACCTGTGTTTCTCCCTCCCGCTGCCGACTCCCAGCACCTCAGCACGGCCTCCTGTGCTCCGTAGGTTGCATTAGCTCGTCCTCCCTGCCTTATCCCTGCCTCTTCTCTATACTAATCCTGCTCTTCACAATGTGCCCAGCACTCTCAGGACTTTCCCTCTCCCCAAGCACTGTTCCCTAGGTTCAGGCCACTTTCCCACACTCCCCTAGCTGTGCGATTCCAAACCTTCTGCAAAACTCAGCTCAGCCATTGTTCCTCCAAGGAGCCAGGCATCTAGGGAAGCTAATATTGCCCAGGCTCTTGGCTCCCAGGGTTCCTTTTCAGGCGAACCCTCTGCATGTGTCCTGGCCTTTAGTGCATTTGGGTGTTTTGTGGTTACTTTTGGAAGAGCAGCTGTCTGTGTGTGGTGTGCCAGTCTCATAGTGATGTACAGAAAACCATCTCCCTGCTGGCCTAGATAGAAGTTGATGTTACACTGTTACACAAATGCACAAAGCATCTCAAAATGGAACTGAGGAGCAGATTGGATTTGGGGTGTGAGAGAAGGGGGCAATCCAAGATTTCCACAAGGGAGTCCTTGGTGGAAACACGGCCATGTGTATGGGTCAGAAGCACCCTGTGTGAGGTGATGGCATTGGGACATCATAAGCAGATGGCCTTAAGCAGGAGTGGACAAGTGGGGCTGTGGCCAAAGCCAGCCGCACCCATTCTTTGGCCTATCACTTGCGGCCCCTTTCACCTAAGGCACGGCACTGAGTGTGTCCCTGAGTGGTGCACAGGCACACCGGGAGCCACTACTGTTCTGGCCCTTTGTGCAGAACCTTGTTAGCCCCCACTCTAAAGGCCTGTACTTCTGCCGGCGGAGCACAGGTAACATCTTAGTCTCTGATGCTCTGCTTCCTCCCTCTGGCCATTTCAGTGCGCGCTGTGCACCGGCTCCTGGAACACCGCCACCATGGCATCCCCTGGCCCTGCACCGAGCACCCCACCACTCAGCTGACCAACTCCATCATCCGGCGTGTGAACGAGGCTTCTGGGCTCTACCAGATGTTCGGGGTGCTGGCTGATGTCATCCTGCTGAAGGAGTGAGTGGCCCTTCCCATCCCCAACACCCCGCACCATGCTTCTTTCTCTGTCCTGTGCAGTGTGGCCCAGTGTCCCTTCCTAAAGTGAGGCCTTCAGGAGACAAAGATCTGTTCTGGTATTGAGTTCCCGCCAACTGGAGCCAGTTGGTCCTGGTCCTTATCAATCAGGTGTATAGTGGCACTCAGTGCCCTAGAAGCACACAGTGCAGAGCACGGCAGGGACAGGGCTGGCAGGGGAGGCAGGAGGGCCCTCAGGGCAAGGCAGGTGAGCAGAGCAAGAACCATCACCCCGAGGGCACAGCCTGATCCCAGCCACGTTGCCCAGTCCGCAGTGCTCAGTGCACAAACCTCACCTTATCCTTGAGCCCCCTCTGTCGCATCAGCACCCACACTGTGGGCAGAGCCTGCCAGCTCCACCTAATAGAGTGACCAGCTCTGGGCAGCTCCTCTGTCCGCATCCCCTCGGCTCTCACTTGTGCTGACACAGCAGCCCTTGCCACAGCAGCTGCAGAGGTCCCTGTAAAAGAGCAGTCATACTGATGTGGCCTCTGCTGCACACCTCCAGGGGCCAGCAGCTCCCTTCTCAGTCCAGGGAACCCATATTCTCATCAGGCACACAGCCCCCTTACCCCAGTTCCCCGTGACCTCCCTCGTCCCCCACTGCAGCCACCAGCCTCCTTGTCCTATACACAGCAGGGCACTCATTCCCTCCTTAGGGCCTCTCACTTACTGTCCTCAGCCTAGCGTGCACCCTCCCAGGTAGCACAGAGTTTCTGAATGTATCCCAGGTTTAGGGAGCACAGCGGCCACAGTGATACAAGCTGGTCAGGGTCCGTGCTGCGCACTGATGCCAGCAGGAGGAACATGCACAGCCTACGAAAACTGCTCCTCCCCTTTGCATGGCGCTGAGGTCCCACATTGCCCCCACCCAGGAACGCCACGGCATTTGAGTACCTGGAAGAGTTCCCCATGCAAATGCTGGCCCAGCTGGAGACCCTCACGGGAAGGACGGCCAAGCACGGGCTCTTCATCATCAACATGGAGTATGGCAAAAACTTCTCGGGGCCTGACAAGGACGTCTTCTTTCATGACCGGTCTGTGGGACACACAGAAGACGCCTGGCAGTCTAACTTCCTCCACCCTGTCATCTACTACTACAGGCACCTCCCCACTGGTGAGCCAGGACTTCCTAGAGGTGGCACCCCTGACACCCGCTGTCTTTAGAGTTGTCACTAGTAAGCTCTTGGAGAATTCCTGCAGCTCAAAGAAGGGGGACCCCTCAGGGACTCTGCCCAGAGACCAGACAGGGACAGAAGGTCTGAGAATGGTGAATGCCAATCTAGATTCTGCCGTATATTGTGACCTACCTGGGCCACACTGGAGTGTCATGATCGCCAGGCACCACACAGAAAGAGGGACACTGTTGAGAAAGCTGACCACAGTCGGGGAGGGGAACCTGCAGGCTGAATAGGAAGTGAAGGGGACAGGGAACCTGAGCTGGTAAATGATACAGAAAAGCTGGGCAAAATTCCCAGGTCTGTTGCTCTGTGACTTGGGGCCATCTCTCAACCTCTCTGAGCCTCAGCTTCCTCATCTGTAAAATGGGGATGATGTCAGTCCCTTCCTTGTAGGATTGTGTGGGGTGAGTCTGAGAGTGTATAGAATGCCCTTGGTGCTGGTACAGTGCAGCTGCCAGTAACGAACAGCCTGAGGAACATGACTTCCACTTCAAAGCCAGTGGGCAGCCAGGGCAGAGGGTGGCCCCGCTCGGGGCTGCTCCCAAGGGCAGAGGTAGCATCAACAGGTAGAAGGGACAGGGGTGCAGGTCTGTATTGAATATGACGTGGAAATGGTCACTTTGAGCCAAGTTCCTAGGACAAGGACAGTCAGGTCTTGGCTGGGCGGCCATTTGACCAGACACTATGGAAGGGGGTTCACAGCAGCAGGAAGCGGAACTTAGGGGAACCCCAAGATGTCATCCATGCAGGGCCTGTGGGCTGCTCACGGCAAGACCAGTTTTAAAGCAGCCACAATGGGCTTCGGTCCCATGTTCTCGGCCAAACACCACCTTCACATGATCATTCTCAGCCTCTGGGAAAGCACATGCACAGCTCTAGTTCCTTCCCCATGTTAGCTTCCAAGTGTCAGAGGGTGGGGGTAAATGAGCTGACCAAGCCCTTGCAGGTGTGTGTCAAGAGCACAGTAGATGAGTCAGGTGCGGTGGCACACGCTGTAATCCCAGCACTTGGGAGGCCAATGCACAAGGATCACCAAGAGTTTAAGGCCAGTCTGGGCTGCATAGTGAGTTCAAGGCCAGCCTGGACTACATAGTGAGACTGTGTCTCAAAAAGCAAAAAAAAAAAAAAAAAGAGCATAGCAGGACACTGGGGACATGCAGTTGGCAGGGTTGGCCGTGACATGGCTCCCTCTCCCCCATCAGAGCAGGAGGTGAGGTTCCGCCCTGCACACTGGCCCCTGCCGAGGCCCACGGCCATCCACCACATCGTGGAAGACTTCCTGACAGACTGGACTGCCCCGGTGGGGCACATCCTCCCTCTGAGGCGCTTCCTGGAGAACTGTCTGGACACCGACCTGCGAAGTTTCTATGCAGGTAACTTGAGTTCCCAGAAGGACATGGGAACTGAGCTAGAGGTCAGAGGAAGGTGTAGGAGATCCACGCTGTGTGGAGTCTTCAGACTCAAAATCCAAACCCGGACTCCTGTTGCCTACAAATTGCTGGGCTAGAGGTTAATTGAAATCCCCTCCCAGCACAGGACCCCTCACACTGTGGAATAACGTCCTTAAAAACGACAGGAGCCAGGCATGCACACCTGCAGTCCTAGCACTTGGTGGTGCTGCTTTGTATTTGCAGAACTGGAGACTGAACCCAGCTACATCCCCAGTCCTTTTTCATTTTTTATTTTGAGATAGGTTTTCATTAAGTTGCCCAGGCTGGGCTTGAACTTGTCATCCTCCTGCCTCAGCCTCCCAGAACTCTGGGATTACAAGTGTGCACCACCACTCCCAGCTCATCCTAGTACTTGGGAGGCTGAAGCAAGAGGATTGCAGGTTTGAGGGCAGCATGGGTTACAAAGCTAGCTCAAGGATGGCCTGAACTACATAGCAAGAACCTATCTCAGAAAATCAAAAACTGAAGAAAAAAGAAAGACTGTTAGGAACAGAGGCCTGACACTTTGGAAAGCACAACCACGGCTGGGCCTGCTGGCCATCAGTGGCCCCAAGCCTGGGTCTGGACTGAGCAGCCCTCGGGTGGGGAGATGAGGCGGGGCAGCGTGGGAGGTCTGCTTAAGACCCTCAGATAAATCTTAGATCCCAGTGGGTGAACAGAAGCAAAAAATGCTGCCAGGGGGCCAGGGATGTAGCTCAGTGGCACCACGCCTGCCTGCCAAACACAAGGCCTGAGTTCAATTGTCGGTACCCCAAGAAAAGAACCAGTAAGAAAATGCTGCCAAGAGGGAAACAGAAGAGATCCAGGCTTTTGAGCCCTGGGTAGGGGAGGGGGAAAAAATCTTCCCTGAGAATTTCCAACCACTAGGCCTGATGTGGTGAAGAAATCACAGAAGCAAATGCGAACCTTCCCTTGAGAAATACACTTTAAAACTAGCCCTCCAGGAATTCCCACAGATGAAGTTCCAAGGAACAGGAATTCCCAGTGAAAATTCACAGAACACATAAGGGGACAGACCACCAGGAAAGAGTGTCAGCAGAAATAACCCATGGGATCAAACCTACAAACAAAGGCTGCAGGTATTGGAATGGTCAGATAGTAAATATATTCCAGAAATAAAATATAGAGAATATAATGAAGGGGAAAAAAAGATTCTACATTATGGCTGGAGTAGGTGTGCCTCAGAGCACTTGTGCAGCATGCTCAAGGCCTGGGTTCAATCCCTGCCTATGTATATGAAATATATATATCTATGAATATATGTCTATATATTCTATGAATATATATTCTATGGATATATATATGTACATATGTCCCTATGAGAGATTCATATATATAAAGGAGTAGAGACTACCATTGGGCAGTTTTGAGAAGAATCTGAATAGAACTTCTGAAAATGAAAAGAAATGAGAAGCTTAAGGCAAGGGTTTAGTGGTGCTTTACACGGAGATCAAGAGAATTGGTGAACTGAAAGATGGATCTGAGATACACCCAGGGAGGGACTTAGGGCGGGGGGAATCAATTGAAAGAAGCCAAGATTTTTGTCTTTTTTAAACACCTGAATGCCTAGAATATTGATTCCTTTTTTTTTAATTGAGAAAACACCTGTTTAAGACTGTTGTGTCAGACACTGCTCATCGCAAATCAGGTTAGAGTCTGATCTGGCCTAATCAGAGAGCAGGAGTCCTTGTTTCATCCTGAGTCTGCTTTGAAATAACACTGTATGTATTATGGGAGATTAAGTTAGTAATGTAAATGCACATGTACATAATACACATACAGTTAATTCATAGAGCCAAAGCAAAGCGACTTTGACGTACTGGCAGTCTGCAAGCCAACAACCTGGTCCATACACTGACCTGTGAAATTAGGCTAGAGTCCTCAGCTCCTAAGAAATGCCCCTCATTTCTCAAGGTTTCAGGGGACATTTAAAAAAATGCCAGCATCAGTTAGATGTGATGACACATGCCCATAATCCCAGCACTCTAGGAGGCTGAGGCAAGAGGATTGTAAATTCAAGCCCAGCATGGGCAGTTTACTGACTTAGCGAGACCTTGTCTCAAAATTAAAACAAAAAAATTTTAAAGGGCTAAGCAAGCTCTGAGTATGGCTGCCCTGACCTGGGAGGAACCCTCCAACAGAGGGCCAGCTGGCAAAGTGCTAGGCTCCCTTTTGTCCCCTTAGCTGGTGTGTAACTGCCGGTTCTGGCCTCAGACTCTGCTAGATGTCTGTACCCCTGGGCTTTGCAGAAGGGGTAACATCCTCAGAAGGTGGTGCAGTCCTCCCTGGCATCTGCTCTCTTCCCTGCTCTGAGAGGGTTGCCATGCTCTCTCCTGCTGGGGACCTCGGTGCCAGGAACCAGCAAGAATACGGAAGCTGGGCATGGTAGCACACACCTGTAATCCCAGGACTTGGGAGGCCGACAGAGTCTGATTGCCACGAGCTCAAGGCTTGTCCATAATGAGTTCAAGGACAGACTGGAATATATAGCAAGACTGTGTCTCAAAAAAAAAAAAAAAAAAAGGGTAACACAGGAAGGGACATAATATGGAGCCTCTTTTGCCATGTTTGCCCTTGGTAGCCTCACAATATCCTTTATCACGTGCCCACTTCTTAAGTGATATAGAGGTTGGTGGAGGTGAAAAGGTTTCCCCAGAGTTGCAAAAGGACTCTAGTCAGGTTCTGACACTCCACCCTCCCAGCTTATCTATAACTCCCTCAGAAGACTGAGCCTACATCCATTTCATCGCCTGTCTTTTCAATCGAAGCCATGTAAGTATAGCAGTCCATCTTTATCTGCAGGGGGTACATTCCAGCACCCCCAGTGGAGGCCCGAAACCAGAGAGAGAAGCGAGCCCTGTGCTTGTACCACATGGCTCGGTGTCACGCATTAAGGCGCTACCTTGGTGAAAGCTTCATAGAGGCTCAGTGCTTTCTGGCACAACATGTCAGTGTTGGTCAGAACACATTTTCTGTTTATGAAGTCTTCCACAAATTTAATGCCTTCCCATCTGAACTGAGCAGGTACGTTGCTGTGTAATTTTGCAGCTTGAGGTGCAGCAGAAAAACTAGCAAGAATTTCTCTTTCCTTCCTCACAGTTTCAGAAAAGATGGGTTGTTCATAGATCTTAGCAACCAGGACACACAGGTCTCTATTAAGTCTAGAACTGTCGCCTTTTCAGTGAAAGGAAGTACTTTGTGGCTTCTCCTTAGCATATCCAAATTGCCACCATCACTGTTCTTGGGCTTTGGGGCCATTACTAAGTAAAATAGGGAACAGTAACCTGACAACTGAGATGGCGACTAAGTAACCAATGAGGGGGTAGCATATACAGTGTGGATAGACAGGACAAAGGGATGATTCTCGTATCAGGTGGGACAGTGCAGAGGGAGCTGGATTTGATCACATTGCTGAGAATAGCACACAATTTAAAACATGAATAGTTTATTTCTGGAGCTTGCCATGTAATATTTTCAGACCATTGTTGACTGTGGATAACAAACCACAGAAAACTACAAATAAGTGGAGAGCACTGTAGTTGTTTGAAAGACTTTTCTCCCATCCTCCCCACCTCTGTTCTCATTCCCTAGAAGGAACTGCTTTTAGCGCTGTGGTTGTTCCTTCTAATGGCTACACTGTTCTTGTGGCTTCTTTTGGTTGTCTCTTCAGATTTCTCAATAATAAGAGGGCTGGGGATTTAGCTCAGTGGTGCTGCCACCTGCCCCACAAGCTCAAGGACCCAAGTTCAGTCCTGGTACCAAAAAAGAAAAAAATGTATCCATGGCTATTTTGTCTTTCAGTCATCAGATTTGACATCCTCGCCAACTTTGCTGTGGCACAGAGAAGGATTTACATATTTTATCTTTTTTATCCCCTACAGTGTTTAGAACAGAACTTTGGCTGCAGTATTTACAACTCAAATATTGTTGCGGGCAGCTCTGGGCTCAAAAAGGGCTGCTCATGGGCAGCTTGCTCCCATCCAGGCTGGCTTTATGCAGAGCTTCTAGCTTAGCTCCAATCTCTGGGAGCTGGTCATTTCTGTGGTGTGCTTTCATTCTGGAGCTTGTTCTCCCAAAATGTCAAAACAGCCTCCTGTTTTTGGACCCTCACGGAGGCTCATAGTCCACAATCTCTCCAGCTGAATGTGAGAGGTCCAGAAAGGTCAGCTCCCAGTTTCAAGGGATGGAGGGTACTGGACAAGGCCCCCAGTGAGCCCTCATGCTGCCTGCAGCATTGATGGCTCTTCTTCCTGCCCTTCTTCCCACACCTCCCAGCCTGACTCCTTCTTTTGCTTTTCTGTAGAATCTTGTTTCCTGTTCACCCTCACACGCCAGAAGCTGCCCCCCTTTTGCCAGCAGGGTTACCTGCGAAAGCAGGGGCTTGTGTACACCAAGAGCCTTCAGCAGCACGGCGTGGAAAGCGGGCTCCTGCGGGACTATGCCACCATGGGCCAGGTCCTGGAGGACAGCAGTCGGCAACCTGGTGACCAAGAGCCAGTGAATCAGCCCCTGGGTACAGGGCATCTGATCCATCTTGACAGCAACAAAGAGGAGCTCTGACTGTCCTCTCCTAGGCTGCGGCAGAGTGGCGGAGTTAGGCCTCCTGTTTCGCTGCAGCCTCACACTCCCACAGACGTGTGACTGCCAGAGACCATGCAGGTTCTCGCCATGGCTGCACCAAAGCAATCATCAGGGCATAGAAGGGCTGGGATGCCCACAGTGCAGTGGCCTTCCCTCCTGTCTTGGTCCCTGAGTGCCAGGTGGCAAGGTCAGGAGAAGGGCATCCTCTGCCAGCTGTGTGCTGCCTTCCACAGCTATCTCGTCTCCAGAGGACCGTCACTGAGCACAGAACGGCCCATCCGGTCCCCTTTGAGGTCCCATCTGCTGCTTTTTCTTCTAGCCTAACCCTTGGATGGACCGGGATCCTGCCTGTGGAGCATTTCACAAGTGAAACCCATCCTCATCTTCATAAGGGTATGCAGCAGGTGCTTTAAAACAAAAGCTCAATGTCCTCAACAAGGTAATGGGCAGATGGGATTGTCATCCCCAGAGTGCTGCTGAAGACCCCAGCCAGGAGGTGTTGAGTCCCTCCCAGAGTCCCCAGCCACGAGTGCCTGTCTGCATTCTCCTCTTCATGCTGCCTCATCCACAGCTTCATCATGCTGCCTTGCCCATCCTGGCCCCTGCTCTCAGGAGGGCCTGGACTTACCAACAGAACCCAGGGCGATAGCTCTGGCTTATCTCATGGACACAGAGGGCTGGCATGGGGCAGAGAGGACACTCCCTGCAAGGTATCAGACCCAAGCAGGTTCCTCCCTGAGCAGTAGAACACAGGCGCACAGAGCACCCTCTCCCCAGCATCACCCCCCTGAGGAATCCACACCTCTGTGACCCTCTTGCCCCATGCCCTCCTGCGTCCTGAACCTGCCCAGTCAAGTACAGTGAAGCTGCTTTTCCGCTATCCTGTTCACCATGTGCAGAGAAACATTGGCAGAGGCTTTCGGAAGGTACCAGTGCATTCAGCTCCTCTTCCTTGTCCTCGGTCATCTGGCACGCACTCGCCCCTCTGGTGTTTCAGTCTCACTTGGGAGTAAGCCATGGGAAAGAGTTTATCCACTAGGCAGTCGCAGTGGTTTCCCAGAGCCAAGGATCAGCTTCCTCGATGGTTGTCACTAGTTTTTCAGGGATCCACTCAGAATTCCAGAGACATGGGCTTTCTAGACCCAGAGCTGCTTCCTGAGAACATCCTCATCCTCTCGGCTAGATACAAACCCCCAGCCACCTGGCCCACTGTCCATGCACAGCCTCCTCCCTCCGGTCACTTGCACAGTCCCAGTAGGCGTATCCTGGGAGGAGCTGTTCGTCCCATGACCCCACCAGGAAAATTTGCACAGGGTTTCTTGTTAATTCCAGGGTGCAGCATTTACTGTATTTCATATAGATTAAATGTGAACCAAAATTGGATGCTGTTATCCCACCCTGTCATTTCCAAAGCATTTTTTAAATGAATCTTTTAATTAGGGCTCTTCCCGAACATCAAATCCTGTTCCACACATCTCGCCCACCCAGTTACTGAGGCTGGCTGAGCCACTTGTTCCAGTAAAATTGTGAGGCGCTGTAACAAGTAGTTGACTGACACCTAAATATGAGACATCTGCTGCATTTCCCTTCATCTGCCAAGTTGTCAGTCCCATGAAAATACCAGTCAGCCTTATTTGTTTTTAATAAGGCAGAATTCCACCCTTACTCAGTTCATGAGATACGTCTTCCTCGACTTGCTTTTGGTAAATTAGTACTGTAGCTGTACAAAAATCATGGCCACACTTGCCAAGTCCCCACAGGACTTGTTCCTAACAGGCCTCTCCCCTTTTCTTACCTGACCTCAGGTGCTGTTGCTTTGGGTGGCTGGCGCCTTCCTGCTGTGTTGGGTTCCCATTTTTTAACCTCTGCCTCATTTCCTTTTGCTGGCAAGTCTGGACAGCCCAGTAGCACAGCTCATGTTTTCCAGCCGGCCCAAGTTCCTCTGTTAGTGAAAACCTGACTTTGTTCATTCCTTTTTTCCTTAATATGAGAAGTTACTGGTACAAAATAGACAAGTCAGGGAAATAAGCAGGAGGCCAGAAGGCAACTCTGTTTTAAAAAGAGATGATTTAAAGAAGAATCACAAACCAATTTTTTTTAAAAAAGACTGCATGGAACTTTGCCTGAAATGTTAGCCTAGTCACTTGAGAATTATTTTTTTTAAGTTTAAACCCCTATTTCATACTGTATACTTTGAAGGTAATTCCAGATAAAATTTTTGAAGCCTTATAGAAACGGGTTGAGTAGGAGGACCATAGTCAAAGAAAAGACTTTCCAAGTTTAAAAGCAATAGAAGATTTCTCCAGAGGGAAAGATTTAGCATTTCCAGGGATACCCACTGAGCCCCTAAATGTGACTATTTTATAGAAAATGATAAGGAGAAATAGCATGGGCAAATATAATTATGGGAGAATATAACAAAATATATTAGTAACTTACTGAAATAAAAGAAATACGAAGAACTGTTCGGTAAACTACCCAGTAGACTGTTACATAGCTCTGAAAATGATCACGATGAAAAACTAGGTAATACAAATGCATATGTAATCAAGTGGGAAAAAAGCAAGATGTAAAATTACAGTCCCAACTACTTGAATTACTTGTAACTGTAAAGACAGAAACCCATGTAGCTGGGGATGGTGGCACACACCTGTAATCTCAGCACTCAGGAGGCTGAGGCAGGAGGATCACTGCACATTTGAGGCCAGCCTGGGCTACACAGTGAGACCCTATCTCAAAAAAAAAAAAAATCCACGTGCAGCAGAAAATACAGAAAGGAAACATCACAATCTCAACACTGGTTAGATTGGGTATAGAGGGTTATTTTTTCTTTTCATTTTCCTCTTTTCAAGTTCTGTGGTTATATTCCATAGTGAAGTAAATGCAGTTATCCTCCAAAAACTTCTGATTTTGAAACTTGGAATTGCCAGGGCAAGTGGACACAGGAGCCCTTCCCAGCAGACATGTTCAGGCAGTGTCCTTGTAGTGTCCCCTTGGAGCCACTTCCTTCCCTGCCAGTTGGGAAGAAGCAGCACCAAGTGTCACAAGTTCAGCTAAAGAAATGAACTATGAGCAGTGTATGTTCCTCTCATGGAGTCTTGTTACTAGCTGAACCAGCACCATGGAGATCTCTGGAAACATCTTCCCTCCCAAGTGTTAGAAAATGAAAGATAAAAATCCTTACTTGGTGGAGCCTTCCTGTGTTTAGTCTCCAATGTACTGTACAGCCCCAAATTCCTTTTATCTGGTAAAAGTAGGGATAAAGTCTCCTTAGAAATGAACTCACCAAGGTGAATTTGTCTGCTAAGCTAATCATAATACCTAATCATTTACTGAGTACTTGCTCTGTGCCCACAAACTATTTGATACTTCTGTATCAGTCAATTTTCTCCTGCTATCACAAAATACCTGAGGCTGGGTAACTTGTGAAGAAAAATGATTTTGCTCACATTTTTGGAGGTTCAAGAGTATTGCACCTGGCCAGCTCTGGTGAGGACACCTCGGCTACATCACACAGACCCAGTGTGAGAAGGAAAGATCACATGACACATCAGGAAGCCAGAAAACGGGGAGGAGCCAGTCTGGGTCTTCCATAACAACTGGCCCTGGAGAGAGCAACCAGGATCCCTCACCTACCTTAGTCCCTTCTGAGGGCAGCCCCTGCAGTGCCCAGTCACCTCACTAGGCTGTACCTCCCAGCATCACCACAGTAATGACCAAGCTTCCAACACATGAACCCTTGGGGGACAAACCACACCAAACAGTAGTACTGCCAGAGGAGAAGTCTCATGTTGAGGGTGGGCTGAACTTAGTGATTCTCTTTGAGCAAGTCAAAACAGGAGTGATGGAAGTCTTTTCCCAGAAAAAGTTATAAATATTGGCATTCACCCACAGAGATTGTGCTCGCTCCTCTGAATCGCTGCCCCCATGTGGGGAAGGCTATGCGTCATGTCCCAAGGACATCCAGGTAGCCTGTGCAAAGGCCCATGTGGCAAGGAACTGAGGCCTGTCAGCAGCCATGTGCGTGATCTCGGGGGTGGATCCTAGCAAAACCAAACCAGATGACTGGAGCCCCAGACACCACCAACACAGCCTTGTGAGAGGTCCTGAGCCAGAATCACCCAGCCAGGCCACTCCCAAAACAGATACTATTTGCTATTTAGGGTGCTAAATTGGGACCCACCTGCCGATGAGTTCAGTGCCAGGAGAATTGTCTGTAGGTAGGATTCATTTATAAGCTGACAAAGTGAGTCGTATACAAACAGTACCCCTGTGAAAGTTTTCTTCAAGTCCAACGTTAGCGAGGGGACTTGCCGTACATGCACTACCTAATTCACCTGTACAAATTACGTTCTCAGCCACGTGAGGGAGAGCGAACTATCTCCATTGTCTTGGTCACTCTTGTTGCTGGGACAAAACGTCTGAAACCCACACTGGAAAGGCTCAGATTTTCAGCCCATTTTCAGCCAGCTCCAAGGCAGAAATGGCATGGTGGAAGGGCATGGGAAAGCTGCTTATGTCATGCCAGCCAGCAAGAAGACAAGGGAGGATGAGGGAGGGGTATATACTCTTCCAGATCACACCCCCCACCGGCCCACCTCCAACCAGGCCCCGCTTCGTAACAGGAAGTTGGTTGTAGTGCCCCCGTAATCCAATCACTTTCCAAAAGCCCCACTTCTGAAGACCTGAGGCCTTTGGGGGATATTCTAGATCTAAAGCTTAACACCCATTCTACAGATGAGGAACCACAGCTGAGAACAATTATACAGGAAGCCAGGTGGGGATCCTTGGCCTTGTCCAAGCTCTCTTCTGGACAGCAACAATCCACACATTAATGGCAGCCTGCTCCTCACCATTTTCCACATGGGTTTCCTTCATAGGGGCAGGATGACGAAGTGAAGAGAGTGACCAAGTCTCAAATACAGAAAGGGATGTGGTTCCCACAGAAGGGCAGAGAAGTTGTTGAAATCCTTATACAAGTGGCCCCAAGAAAAGAATTAGGGCTGGCGGTCAGGTTCAGTGATAGAGCACATGCTTAGCATTTGCAAGGCCTTGGGTTCAATCCTGAGTACCAAAAAAATGAGGGGGGACCGGAGAGGGGGTCCCGATACAGTGATACAGGAAAAAAGCCTTGGACTCTGAGTATCGGCCATCAGCAGACTCAACCTCAGTTCTGTCACCAACTACCTTAGCCCCCAAAAGCCAAATTGGATCCTTCCCTTGAAAATAAACCTCAGGCTGCATCATTTCACTGCAGATGCTTATTTTTAAAATATGGTGAGAATGCTGACAGGATAAAGATTTTCATCAGACTGCAGGCTTTAAAAAAGCATTTAATTCAATCTGGCATTCCAGACGGAATGTAAATCTGCTACAAAGTGAAGCTGATGGGCAAATATGAGATGCTTCAGCCCAAGTATTTAATCCAAGTACATCACACAACCAAGCCATCAACGTTGAAGTAAAAAATAGCATGCAACAGATGTACTTATAGGGAAGAAAGAAACAACAGGCTATCCTGTCTCGCTCCTTTCTTGATTCTGCATAAATAAGCCCAATTTGCCTGCTCTTCTGGAGAAGCCCCAAGCTTTGCACTCAATGCAAAATCTTTCAAAAGTCTGTCACCTATTTCTTCCTTCTCTTTGAAATGTTACCATCTCAGACTCAGATTCTGAAGTTGTTCCAAATCATCAGAAAGTACTTAGAGGCAGAAAAGCCCTAGCATCAGAAAAAGATGACAGTAAAATATCTCAAAGTGTTATCATCTGTCATTGTAGTTTAGAAATAAGACAACTACGAAAATGTTTCTGTTTGTCTGGTTTTTGTTTTTTGTTTTTTTCCTCTGTTTGTCTACTTTTGGTACCGGGGATCGAACTCGGGACCTTGTGCTTGCGTGGCAGGCACCAGAACCACTGAGCTAAATCCCCAGCCCCCAACTACGAAAATGTATGAGGTGCTTGCCTTAACACCAGCCAGATTTAAATTTATTGTTTGTTTATTTGTTTGCTTACTGGGGATTGGGCACAGAGCCTCTTGCATGCTAGACAAGTGCTGTAGCACTGAGCTACATCCCCAGCTCTTTTTATTTTTTGAGACAAGATCTTGCTAAGTTGGGCCGGGGATGCAGCTCGGTGGTTCCGGCGCCTGCCTCACAAGTGCAAGGTCCCAAGTTTGATCACCAATACCAAAAAAAAAAGATCCTGCTAAATTTCCCAGGAACTTGAGATCCTCTTCAGTCTCCCAAGAAGCTGGGATTACAGGTGTGCACCACCAAGCCCAACTGGGTTTAACTTTTCAATAAGTCTGTCAGAAAAAGTAGATGTCCCCAAAAATCCTCACTATGAGGCACTGTGTTGCTTAAAGAAAGCCCAAAATTCTGTGACACCTAGGAAGATGTGGGCGCTGTGTCCCTTCCCCTTGAATCAGGGTGGGCTCTGGGAGTGTTTGGACCAAAAATAAATGGTGGAAGTGAAGCTACGCCTGTTTCTGGGCACAGGCCCTCAGAGACTGGCAGCTCCTGCCACACGTTTTGAAACTCAACCAACACATGGTGAGGAAGCCCTGTGGAGAGGCCCATGGAAAGCAGAATTGAGCTCAACCAGCTGCCAGCCAGCACCACTGCTGCCCTGTGAGTGAGCCCTGTTGGGAGTGGGTCCTCCAGGACTCTTGACCCTCCCTTGTTGACACTATGTGGAGCAGTGGTTGACATCAATATCCCACATCAAGATGTTACACAGCAATAGAGAAAAAGAACAGGTAACATGGGACAAAATATGCAGGTGGTAATCATGAAGGTAAACCTGTAAAGGCAGGTATAATATCAGTATTACCAGTGGTTAATAGTGAAGCATACTACAAAGATGATTGCAGAGGACACCTGTTAAGTCACTCTGAGTAAAATATAAGGCTGGGGATGTAGCTCAGTGGTGCCCTGCCTGCCCGACAAGGGCAAGGTCCTGAGTTCGATCCCTGGAACCAAAAAAATTAATTAATTAATTAATTAATGAAAAAATATAGCTCTACTATTGCATCAATTAGGGTACCTATGCTGAAGGACCAATGAGAAAGCGAAGTGAGGCTGCAGGTGTAGCACAGTGTGTTTGAAGCAAGAGGGAATATTTTGAGAGGGCTTAATGGCAATATGGGAATGTGTCTTTTACTGTAATAGCTGTTTTTAAGCATTACCTATACACTTGGATCACTACTTGTAGTTTATTTACTGCTTCCTATAAATGTCCAGGATTTCTAGCTAAGTGTAATGGCAGCTCTCTATCCGATAGCCATGCCCCCACTCCTTCCTTGCTAGCAGCTTCTTGGTTTTGTTCAGTGTGTGTGTGGCCAGAGGGACCAAAGAAGATGGGGTCAGCTCTAGAGGGTGGGCCCTAAGGAGTCATAAGTGCGTGCAGCGGGTTGTAAGTCGGAACAGTCATTAAACATGTAGGTTGTTAACCGAGGAATATCTGTATATCAAGGACAATGTCCAAGATACAACCCCAAATTATTAGACACAAATAGGAAACTCTGATCTGTACTTAAGAGGAAAGGCAACTAATGAAGACTGACAAAGATGACCAAGATGCTGGGCATAGGAGACAAAAGTTTTACTATTATAAAACTATGCTCAAGGATATAAAGGAAAATATACTCATAATGAGGAAATAGATAGAAAGTCCCACTTTTAAAAAAAATAGAAACTAGGGCCGGGGATTTAGCTCAGTGGTTCTGCTGCCTGCCTTGCAAGCGCAAGGACCTGAGTTCAATCCCTGGTACCAAAAAAAAAAAAAAAATAACAACAAAAAAATAGAAACTATCAAAACAAACCAAATAGAAGTTGGGCATAGTGGTACATGTCTATAATCCCAGCACCCAGGAGAATCAAGGCAGGAGAATCAAGTGTTCCTAGAACCTTACTACCCTGGGCTACTTATGAGTTCAAGTCCTGCCTGGACTATATACCAAAACCCTGTCTCAAAAAACTAAAAAAAAGGAAATTTGAGCACTGAAAAAAGGCAATATCTGAAATAAAAAATTCACTAGGTGAGCCAAACAGCATATTAGAGATAACAAGAAAATTTCAATGAGTTTGGAATGAGATCAATAGGAATTGTGCAATCTGAAGAACACAAGATACAATCTGAAGAAATCAAAGAGTCTCAGTGATCTGTAGGATGATATATAAGAAACCAGATTTTCAGAAAGAACAGAGGTCATGGAACAGAAATTTTTTCTTTAGGAAATAAGGTCCTAAGTGTTCTTAAATTTGGGGAAAATGCATAAATTT